TCATATTTGCAGAGATATCAATTCGCAATCCAAAAAGATTTGAAACAGGCACTGAAGCATTGCTAATCAAATTCTTCCAAAAGCAGATTATCTAGATTCTAGACCATGCAATCCATAATAGGTTTATAGCTTGAAAGTTGTATGCAGAGAAATTCCTGTTCAGTCTGCAACTTTTTGGAAACTTTTTGCTCATATTTTAGAAGTTTCATTTTGTTTGGCTAAAGTGCAAACAAAAGCCTTTCCACATAAAGTGGCAACTCATTTTAATATATGAACACATAATCATCAAGTCGTGATCTCTCATAACGTTAGTGCCTAATTACTAACCAGTCACATGAATAATATTCATAAGCTAAGCGCATAAGTTTTATGCAATCACTTATTCTCTTAGTTCATGGTGTTTATGCCTTGTTGATTAGGAAAACATTCAAGTTTTGTTGGGTAGCTCTCTTAGAGTGTCTATTAGTTGTTACACTATCTACGTTTCAAATGTGCAGTGTAAAAAGGAGCAAATCCAAAATAATTTAGAATGACAGAACTGAGCAAATGTGAAAATTGCAACACACATTTGTGATTCAGACTGTTTAAACCTTGCTCATTAGGAGTGGTTGTCATTGCCGTACCTTTACTTACACTACCGTTCATAAGTTAGGTGTCAGTAAGACATATTTTTAAAGAAATTAATATTTTTATTCAGCAAGGATGCATGAGACAGCCAAAAATGACAGTAAACATATTTATAACATTCAAAAATTATTGTTAATGTTAATTTGAGCAGAATTTTTTTTATAATTTGATATACAGCACCGTTGTGCTACGGGTGTCCCGAGTTCGAATCCCAAATCGAAGACCTTTCCCGATCCGCCCCACTATTTCTCTCCCACTTTGCTTCCTGTCAGCTGTGATCTGTCCTATCATAATAAAGGTGAAAAAAAATGCCAAAAATAAATCTTTAAAAGAAAACTGTAATAATGTCACAATATTGCTGTTTTTATTGTATTTTAAATCAAATAAATGCAAGCTTGGTGAGCATAAGAGACATAAAAAATCTTACCAATCCCAAACAATTGAACGTTCAATTGATACGTCATTGCATTCATGTGCATCCATATATGTGATCAATTACAATACTCAGTCACTGCAAAAACACATTGCAAATAGAAAATGTTGATGCAAGGGAAGTAGAATTAATTGTGCATCCCTAATACATGTGAAAGCAAAAATGGCTGACTGACCGATTGTGTTTGTGTATGTCTGAGCATGCATGTGTGCAGTCTGGATAAACCAGACAGTCACACAGTCATCAAAGACAGTCACAAACAATTGAACGGTAGTAATTTAAATACCTCTTCATCATTGCATTCATGTGCATCCATATATGTGATCAATTACAATACTCAGTCACTGCAAAAACACATTGCAAATAGAAAATGTTGATGCAAGGGAAGTAGAATTAATTGTGCATCCCTAATACATGTGAAAGCAAAAATGGCTGACTGACCGATTGTGTTTGTGTATGTCTGAGCATGCATGTGTGCAGTCTGGATAAACCAGACAGTCACACAGTCATCAAAGACAGTCGCTTTATACTGCCAATCAAACACATGAGGGTGTCAGAAAGATCCTATTTCATGCAGATTCTCCACAATGCCTGTTTGACACTCCTGATCAAGCCCCAAGAATCTGCACATAAAAGAACCAGCACAACACGAAATCCTGCTTCTTTCATCGCCTCTTAGATCTCTCTTACTCCCTACATGTAGCATTGTCAGACCGTTCTGCTCTCTCTTTCCTATCGAGTAACACACCGTGATGTTACATTAATCATTTTACCCACTCTATAATTACATTATCTTCAGTCGCCATCCATGCAAGTTAAACCCCAATAAAAGTCTGAGGATGTCTCTATAAGAGACGAGCAAACTAATGCAGATCCATCAAAAGTGAACAGACACATATAAATCTGTCAATTAAAATATAATCAACCCTCTTTCTCATTTAGTTTTTCATTTTCATGTAAATGGAGCTGGATTACGGTGATATGACACCTAATAGGACCAGAAATCATGAAATGAAAAATAGCGAATAAAGGGGCACACATACGATGTAACCTATAAAATATCTCAAGATATATCCTCTGAAAATAAGTCTCAAATCGCAAAGCATCAAGTAAATGCATCTTTTAGGTATTTTACTGAAAAAAGACAAAAATATTGATTCAGAACAAACACTTTTTCTCCATTTCTGAGGTTCGCTGTCTTGTTTTATCTTGTCCTTTGCTCTAAGGCCATACCCTGTTTCTTCATTTCTTTCTCAGACTCTTTTGAAGAGCGCGTTCCTTGTGCTGTGTCTGGTTTCTGTAGTGTAGAGCAGCAGGGACCTGCAAACTCTCTGTTTGTCAGATTGACTTATATGAACACAAAGGGAGCTCTAGGGAGAGTATAACAGATCCTCCGCAACAGGGCTCCTAAACCTGAGCTACAGACACACACACACTGCAGAGCAATCTTCTCTGAATCTCTAATCACACAGAAGGTTGGCACCACTGCCAATAAAGCCAAATTAGATGAACTTGCACACACATAAAACTCTTACTAACAGAAAAGTATCAAAAGAATCATGGTAATACCATGTTTTTGGACATCTTTATAGTAAGTTTTTTTGACATGTATTCTTTGAAGTACCTTGAGTACCATGTAAATAATAAGGCACGTGCATATGTTAATCAGTAACACATCAATAACAGCCTATATATAAATTTACCATGATATTACACTGTTAAAAACGAAACATTTAATAAATTATGTTAAAAATTAAATAACTTGCAAAATATTTTACATAATTTCTTCAGCAAGAATTACAAATGTATAATAAATATAATATTATATAATATAATACAAATTAGTATAAATTAATAATATGTTTACATAATGCATTACCCACCATAATACCATGTTTTTTAAACATGTACCATGGTATTCTTCAAAGTATCTTGGAGTGCCATGTAAATAATAATGCACTTGCATTTGTTAATCATGCATAAGTACCACTGTAAGGCTGTATAACAGAGCCATAGTATTACATTGTAAAAAAATATATAATATAATATAATATATTATAATATAATGTTTGTACCATTCTTTAGATATGTACCACCATAATATTATATATTATGCTACAATATAATTTTAACTATATGTGGCACACACCAATATATCTTAACCTGTGTTCATTTTTGTCTGGTTTTGAACATGAATCTAACTAATTTAGTTAGGTTTATATATATAAAACAAAAAATTGTGCATGACAAGATATATTCTCTGAAAGTCTTAATATATCATGCAAATTTGCTTCTCAAGTAAATGTATCTTGTTTTAAGTATTTTTTGTATGTCTAGATATTTTAGTGGACCAAAATATTGATTAAGAAAAAGATTTTTGGCAGTGAACCATTTGATAGCATCACTGAACTATTGGAACTGCCACATTATTTCTCATAAGCGATATGACCTTGTTTCAAAATGACCAGTACTGTAACACTTGCTTCTGTTTAGCGACCCTGCATAATACATGAGAACTGCAGTGTGAAAATACCCTTCTCTCTCTGTGTCTCTCATCCACTCATTGCTTTATCCTCCCCTGAGAGCCTAAAGGTAATGGAGCAGAGCAGCATGGTTAATTCGGAATGTGGAAAAACTGTTTTGAGTAGAGGCAATGGATTCAGGGCGCATGTAATGGCCATGTGGGTGGAACGCATACATACACACATCTATCCGCTTTTCAACAAACACAAAATATGTGAAATATATTCTGCAACCATTGACTGATGCTTGTTTAACACCCTGCAAACTGGCTGCTCTAATGAATTTAATTAATCAAGTGAAGTGAACAGGTTTATGTTGGATAAATAAAGTTCAGGTCAAACTTGTGGAGCATTATACACCCAAGTCACAAAGGGCATTATGGCTCTCTCTACAGACAGCACTATCCATATCCAGCAGCAGTGCTGGTAAAAAGACTCTACCAATCAATAGCAGAGATGGGGGGCTGAGATTAATGGGCTGGCGGTGGCAGGCCAAACAAGCTCTAATTTGTTACACTCATCTATAATCACACTGTCAGAAACTGCTACCAGATTTCTGCTCAGTAAATCATGGAACAGATCAGCAGTTTATGCAAATTTTTGAAGATTTTCAAGGTCCTAGAAAAGAAGGAATGGCAAAAAGATGTGTTTTTATGTAAACTCATAATTATGGTAGCACTTCAGTATAGGGAACACTTATTCACTATTAACTATGACTTTTCCCTCAATAATTTCCTAATTTGCTGCTTATTAATAGTTAATAAGGTAGTTGCTAAATTTAGGATTAGGGATGTAGAATAAGGTCATGTAGAATAAGGCATTAATATGTGCTTAATTACTACTAATAAATGGCTAATATTCTATTTATATGCAACTAGTTAAGAGACCCTAAAATAAAGTGTTATCATAATTATAATAGGTAATTAATCTCAATTAGTAACTTAGTATCCCATCATTTTGATTTTTTTATCTTATGACTTTTTAATGCAATAATTCTGACTTCTAACTTACATTCTCATAATTTTGCCTTAGTATCTCATAATTGCAGCTTTTTCTATAATATCCACTTTGTCATAATTATGACTTTTTTCATAATTAAAACTTTCCATCTTATAATGTATGACTTTTCATATCATAATTTTAATGTCATACTTATGTCGTATATTGTAATTTCTTCTTGATGTCATAATTGTGACTTTTTATATGATAATTTCTACTTTTTATGTCATAATTATGAATTTTTATCTCATAATTTCAACTTCTTATGTCATAATTATGTCAGTTGTAAAGTTTTTATCTCATACTTATGATTTTTTGTTCATATGTGACTGAAATGGGATTTCATAGTATTGAATCCTGTGCAATGGCATCGTACAGTTGTGTCCAGCACGAATTTGTGTCCGTTTCTATATCATTACCTAATTTGCATAATTCCTTTAGTGAACTGGGTATCAGTGGGCACAAATCCCACCTGAATGTCTGCCACGCACAGAGCCTTTTTTGGCAGCCATCTCTCTGATATAATCAAATTCAGCCACGGTCACTTGCAAAGCAGGTCAGACTGAAGCGTGCAGTTTCCTAGAGTCAGTTTACTTACAGTCCTGTAGTCTATACTGAGTGTCAAACTGAGCTGAATCTTTAGATGAGAATGTACATCTCCTTTATGAACCACCTCCTCATGACTCTGACAGATGCACAGCAAGATCTCCATCTAATTTAATGCATCTTCTCCTATACTCCGAAGCAGCCTCATGGGTTCAGCAGCTGCATTAATCATTATGAGAAGAAGAAAAATTCTGCATGCTATTATAGACCATCTTTAATAGACAAGAATGATAAGCAAGCAGACTCTAGTTTTCATAGAACTGCTAGTTTCTATTGTGCCCCACAGCTAGTATGGCTTACAAATCAAGACTTCAGCAGGAAAAGGAAATCGGTCTCGATGGAATGGCCTGTGGTGCTGATTCAAAGATCCTATATAGCTGTTGGGCTGACTTAAGGCGCACAGATGCTTTGCTGATCTTCAATCATATCGTACTTTCAGCATATCAGCGAATTCAGACACAGTGGTCAGATAACACTCTGAATATCTTTCAAAGAATTTATTCCTTTAAGAAATGGTTGTGATGCAAGTTGTTAAAATAACAACTGACGTCACTCAAAAACAACAGTAGTTTGAGTTTATCCAGACCTGAGCTTAAAAGTTGATTGAAGAGAATTAACTCAACTTCTGCTTGATGCATGCAGGGTTTGAAATAAATACATGAAGAAACACAAACTAGACATCTTAGGACAACTAATCACTATACGCAAACACGTTTCTTTTCATTTACTTTAATTAGCAATCAATGAAGTGAAGAAATTACACGCTGAAGTGAAGCTGAATGACTCACCTTCTTTGGGCACTGCATGTCTCTAGCCAGGCTCAGCAGGAGCTCATGAGATATGGGGTCCACCAGGTTTAGAAAGGATGTGTTCTTATAGAGGATATCATTGAGTGATGTACCCTCTAATCCCAGGTCCTGAAAAAGAAAAAGATAGAAAGAGAGCACATATTATCAGTCCCTCACTCAAGCTGCCTTTTCTGGCAATTTCATGATGTACTGTATGGCTCTGAATGCTTATTTTTGTCCTTTTTCATATTGGTAATGCCAGGGATTTATGCTGAAATCTATATCCATATAGGTAGTTAGGTACACAAGTTACTATCTTGATTGCTATCTGTATGGAAGCTAAGATAACAAGGGGCCACATTTACTAATAATTTCACACAATTTCCTTATTTATGTGTGCAACAGTTGGTGACTCTAAAATCAAAGTACAACAACTAGTTTTTGTATTGGTTGGGAGTATGTACTGTAAGTTGGGTTGCTCTTTAGAATTTGCTGGGCCGATGTTCGCGCATTGTTTGGGGGGAAAAATTATGCAAATGATGTATCAGTATTTCTGCCTGAATTAGTCCATATGCAAGAGTTTGCACAAATACAGTATGTGCGTATACTTTTATCTGGAACAAAAACATTTGGATATTGCCAATTAAAATGAAATTTGAATTTAAACGAAGCATTAAAATGAAACTCATTTTATAATAATTTAATTTCACTAAAATAAATAACGAAGTTAGAAAACACTCTAATGTATTTACTGTAACTGAGACAAAAACATATTGAAGAATAGCAGAATTTAACTAAAAAGTCTGCTTAAAAAAAAGAGACTTTGCAATGAAGTTTTCTACTTTGAAATAGTTAATACCAAACATCTCTGGTCTCTTTTTAAAATGATTATAGACCCCAATGCTCAAATTTTGTAATTTTTTTAACAAACTAGCTATCAATTACATGTATGATTTGTGATTTTACTGACTTCAGAGAACACTGTCCATGTCGCCAAGACCCACTATTATGGCTTTAATGGGCCTGACTATTTTATTCTTTCTCTTCTTTTAAAGTCCTACAGACACTAATTTTATCACTTAAAACTTTGATAATCAAAATAGCATATTTAAATGTTTTTCCCAAGAAAATAATTTCCTTATGTCTTAAAATTACTTGAATATAATTTTAAACCCGTACCTTATTGAGTTTACAAGGCTCTATGAATATGCAAATTAGTCCCCGCCTCCACTCAATCACACCTGCTCTACTTTCACTCTACTTTACTACTTTCACTTTAACTGAAGCAGTAAACACTACACAATGGCAAGAGGCAATACTGGATAAATGATTATAGGAGAGTGAATCCGTGAGTGAAATTATTTAAATTCTGAATGGATTATAGCCTAGAATGTGCACAAAGTACGCCCAGTTTATTATGACTAAAAAGCTGTCACACATCTTAGTACATTGCAATTTCGCAAAGTTCCATTATATTCAATGAAGCATTACACTGCGCAATGAATCTCTTATTTACATAGGGGGCCCTATATCATACACCTGGCGCAATGCGGCGCAAGTGTTTTTGGTAGTTTCAGCCCGACGCAGTTCTCATTTTCCCGTCCTGCGCCGCGTTGTTTAAACAGCAAATGCATTTGCGCCCATTTGTGCGCCCATGGGCGTGCTGGTCTAAAAAAGAGGTGTGTTCAGGCGCATTGTTGGCCTCCACTCAATCACACCTGCTCTACTTTCACTCTACTTTACTACTTTCACTTTAACTGAAGCAGTAAACACTACACAATGGCAAGAGGCAATACTGGATAAATGATTATAGGAGAGTGAATCCGTGAGTGAAATTATTTAAATTCTGAATGGATTATAGCCTAGAATGTGCACAAAGTACGCCCAGTTTATTATGACTAAAAAGCTGTCACACATCTTAGTACATTGCAATTTCGCAAAGTTCCATTATATTCAATGAAGCATTACACTGCACAATGAATCTCTTATTTACATAGGGGGCCCTATATCATACACCTGGCGCAATGCGGCGCAAGTGTTTTTGCTAGTTTCAGCCCGACGCAGTTCTCATTTTCCCGTCCTGCGCCGCGTTGTTTAAATAGCAAATGCATTTGCGCCCATTTGTGCACCCATGGAAAATGAGACTCTGATTGGTTTATTGCACGTTATGCCCAAAAAACACCCATTACTCATTAAGAGAATAGGGACAACCAGTTTAGACCAGGTGCGCCGACCGTTTTCCCGTCATTAAACTAGCAAAAGTGGATTCGCCCTGAGTGCACCTGCGCCGTGCGCTTTAGACCATGCACTTAGATCGTTAAAATAGAGCCCTGTGTTTACACTTTGTTTGTTATAATGAGAGGATTTGTGAGCGTGTTGAACTCAGCGCTAAATAAAACTCCAGTGTTAGAGCAGTGAGTAGATTCTGATTAACTTCAACACCTCTGATTGGCCATTGCATTAATGAAATCAACAGATATGTCTGTGATTGGCTACAATGCTCAATGCTGCAAAAACATGTTGTAAATAGAAACCTCTGACCAATGAACGAAAAGTCCTGCCTTGTAGGTTGATGGGATTGATTACATGTCTGTGATGGTAGGAAACGGGCACTTTCAAACTGCGTTTTTGAGACTGATTTTGGTACACCACAGTTTTAAGGAGAAAATACTTAGCAGTGGTGTTGACTGATGATTTTGCACATAGTTTGTTTTCAAGCATACTAAAAACACCAGACAGACATGTAAACGTTTTTTGAATTTTTTTCACCATGGGTGGTGGTGGTGGGGCTTTAAAATCTTTGATCATTTATTTTACATCTAAATTTGGTTTTGACAGCTGTCCCAAAAAGTCAACTGGCCCTTTGGGAAAGTCCCAGTGTTGCAAAAAATCGAGAATATAACTTTCATGTATTATGCAACTTTGATTTACATAGATAAGAATAACTCTAGAATGGCAAGATTGGGGTGTTTCACTGAGACAGAGTGAGAGCCGCAGACTTTCAATAACACAGAAGGGATTATGAAACTGCCTCCATTGGGTTATTAATATTCAAAGACCAGATGCTTTTTTCTATGGTGACTTGCATATTCTGATTGGAACAGGTCTTTGCACTCAGTGCAGTTGGAGTGTGCATGCTTAAATGTGTTTAGCAGCAGGGAAGGAGATGCCCACATCTACCCACCTCTCTGTCCCCTACTCTTCTCCATCCATCCAGCACCAAACACCTTCTCTTTTTTCCCCATTCTCGTGTGCTGAATCTCAATTCCAGAGAAAAAAAGAGCACAGGGGTCATTTCGACTGCTGGAAAGACCTGCTTAGACCAGCATGAATTTCCAGAATGAATATTGGATAGCACTGGTTTGAAGGTTGAGCTTGTATCGTTTCTTTTAACCCAGGATCATTGGAAAAAACATGCCTGTGGTGACATTTCAGCAAAATGATATTACTTTCAAAGTAAAATATCCAGTGAGGCTCTAAAAGCACATACAGTTTCATCTAAAATGGATAAATGTGAATCTGGTAAAATTGTATTATTGTTGATTGTTGTACACATCATGCCAGTTCAGAAATTAAACGTCTGGTGAGTGGTGCTAAAAGGTTAATCACATTTGAAAATCCCACCCTAATTGATAAAACCAAATTAATATAGTGTTATCAGAAACAAACGTGAGTCACATTTTTCCAATGAGCCTACATTGATTTCTTTGTTACTAACTAGCAGCTACGCATTGTCTGCAAAAATGATATAAAGTCTAGTGTTTATAGGGTTAAACTGCCTGTCCGAGAAATGTAAATGTCAATAGTGTTCTATGAAATCCAGACAGCAAGTGAGCAGAATATGAAAAAAGCACATAACAAGATGTGTAGGGCCAGTTATGTGCACATACATGTCTCAGATGGTGGGCAAGATGGATGTATTTTTGTTTTAGTGAGGATGTCTAATGACGCTTATGTCTCTTTACTCTAAAAAAACATTTTATCTTAGCATGAACAACACACACCAACACAAACAAAGAAATTATAGTGAAAGTCAACTCAGATTGACCTGAGAGTTCTGGGAGACAGTAAGCAGGAGATGATGATGAAAAACCTTTTAGGATTTCAAAAGAATTCCTGTTACTGTGACTTCCAAGAATCCTAATAATATCATCTCTATGACAAGCCTTTTGAGAAAGAGATTTGAGTAAAAGACCAAGCACCGGCTGACAGCTGCCTCAAGTTATATCGTGCGAGATCTGGGGCTGTCAGCTTGTTTTTTAGATGCAGTCTGGCTAGCTGGTATCTCTAGATCCTTTATGCCAAAATAATTTTTCATCAATGTGAGATCACTATACTGTAGCTGCAGTCCTGCCACCAACTCACATCTCTGTAAGTAGTAGAGGAAAACCGGGTAAGATGCCTTCCGGAGTAAGATGTTCTCTCCTTCAATTTCCACTTGACCACAGAATTCAGTGCATTGTTTTGATATTTGAACAACTTTTGAGGGATTTATACATTTATTCTGAATGTACATCGTTTAAAAAATATAATGCATATTTAAATGATTAATGTTCAAAAACAACTCAGTTTGAATTATTATAGTTTAGTCATTTTAAGTCAAACTAATTAAATGCATACTCTAAAATAGAATATTTGATTTTGTATTTATTTCGTATTTTATATGAATTAATATTGTGTTTATTATAGTGCAGTCAAACGATTGATCGTGATTAATCGCATCCAAAATAAAAGTTTTTGTTTACATAATATATGTATGTGTACTGTGTATATTTATTATGCATATATAAATACACACACATGCATGTATATATTTAAGAAAAACATGTTACAAATACATTTAAAATATTTATACATAATATCAATTATATGAATATAAATATATACATGGAAATTTTTCAAAATATATACTTGTATGTGTGTGTATTTATATATATATAATAAATATACACCGTATACACACATATATTATGTAAACAATTTTTTTTATTTTGGATGTGATTAATCATTTGACAGCACTAGTATTATTATACTTTAAAAAACAAGTAAATATATAATACATTTCTGCAATAGAATTATTTTTCTGTAAAAATCAGATAACAGATGGTTTCCTACGGGGGGTTTCTTGCTTGGTAGGAGGTACCCAAGTTTTGTGCTGTAACAAGTATATTAGCAAATGTTTATTTCCCCTAATAATAAACTAGATAATGCATCATCATAATGCACATGCTAAATTCATATGTTGCAATTTATCATCATTTGTACATGTTTTTTTAGACACTGGTCTACTTATCCCATGTCCTCTTATCAGTTGCTTCCATGTCCACTCTAATTGTGCTAGGTCCTGTTACATGACTAGGTCTCTGAAACATGAGACCCATTTTTAATTCTCTGTTTCTTGATAATGGGAGAAAGCCTTAATAAAGACTGTGAATGCACACAGAGGACCACATCGCGGGTCTCCGGTGACATGCTTGTCGCAGCATAGGTATCCAAGACTATCTTTCTGTGTTGATTAAAAACGCTCTCTGCTCTGGGATGTCAAATTCTCAAATGTAATTAAAAGCACGTCCTGAGAGAGGGAGACAATGAAAGGAGACTATGAAAAACTGAATTAAAAAAAAAGAAAACAAAGGGATGACAATTGTCATGGTCCAGGTGTGTGGAGGCAGGTAGGATGACGAGGACGACAAGGATTCAAAATAAGGACCTTTAATGTAGCGACAACAAGGCAGAGACAGACACACACTTGGGGTAACATTCACAATAACCGACAGCACTGGAATACAAGAGACAGAAACTTATAGGGCATGCACACAGAGGACCACATCGCGGGTCTCCGGTGACATGCTTGTCGCAGCATAGGTATCCAAGACTATCTTTCTGTGTTGATTAAAAACGCTCTCTGCTCTGGGATGTCAAATTCTCAAATGTAATTAAAAGCATGTCCTGAGAGAGGGAGACAATGAAAGGAGACTATGAAAAACTGAATTTAAAAAAAAGAAAACAAAGGGATGACAATTGTCACGGTCCAGGTGTGTGGAGGCAGGCAGGATTACGAGGACGACAAGGATTCAAAATAAGGACCTTTAATGTAGCGACAACAAGGCAGAGACAGACACACACTTGGGGTAACATTCACAATAACCGACAGCACTGGAATACAAGAGACAGAAACTTATAGGGCAGATAATGAGGGGCAGACAGGTGAACACAATGAGGGTAATTAACTAATGATAAACAGGCTAAACCAACAAAAGGGGAAGAAACCACAACAGACAGTCCACAGGGGTGTTACATTTACTCCCCCCTCCCGGAAGGTGCGTCCTCGCACCGTAGAAACAAAGGGAGGGGCGGAGGGGGACAAGGCAGTGGATGTGAGATGGTGACAGGGGAAGGCAAAGGACTGGCAGGCTGAGCAGAGAGGTGGAGGTGGAGGTGGAGGTTTCGGCGGAGGATGGACTTCCAGGAGGAGGACGGCTAACAGAGTCCAGGGAGGTGACGATGGAGGCAGGAGCCAGGGAGACGACAGGAGGGAACCGGAGCAGGTGGAGCCAGGTGGGACCCTGGCCACAGCTATAATAGTGGCCCACGGTGGAGCCGATGGAGGGAGGACCCATGGAGGAGGAATGTCCACCGACTCCAGGGGGCCGACTAACGGCTGCGGAGCAGGTGGAGGAGGAGCCCGAGGCGGAGACGGAGAGCCAACGATCCAGGTGGATGCCGAGGATCCGGGGGGCCAGGGTGGAGCCGAGGGCTCTGGCGACCAAGGCGGAGGCTGAGATCCAGAGATCCGCGGCGGAGCCGGAGCGACTGAGGACCAAGGTGGAGGTGACGGGAGGAAGGAGCCCAACGGAGCTGGTAGGACAGAGAGGAACCAGGAGCCCTTCCTGGGCTTAACGAGGAATCAGGAGCCCTTCCTGGGCTTAACGAGGGATCAGGAGCCCTTCTTGGGCTGGACCAAGGATTCCACGGTCTCTCCTCCTCATGCACTGGGACCTCCGTGGTCAATTGGCCGAATAAGGCTTCAGCCCACTGCAAGGCTCGTCCAGACAGCAACGAGATAATGAACGACACCTTGGCCCGCTCAGTCACAAACAGGTGTGGCTGCATCTCCAGGTAGCGGGAACACTGCAGCAAGAACCCACTGCTGAAGGCTGCCTCACCCGAAAAGCGGGCTGGCCGGGCCATGGGACAGGCAGAGTAATCCATAAAAAAAACAAAATCAATAAAAACGGACAAAAAAAAACGGAAAAACAAACGAGGGGAAGGACGCTGCTATACTTCACTTTTTGGGTCGGTTATTCTGTCACGGTTCAGGTGTGTGGAGGCAGGCAGGATGACGAGGACGACAAGGATTCAAAATAAGGACCTGTAATGTAGCGACAACAAGGCAGAGACAGACACACACTCGGGGTAACATTCACAATAACCGACAGCACTGGAATACAAGAGACAGAAACGTATAGGGCAGATAATGAGGGGCAGACAGGTGAACACAATGAGGGTAATTAACTAATGATAAACGGGCTAAACCAACAAAAGGGGAAGAAACCACAACAGACAGTCCACAGGGGTGTTACAACAATAGGCAAACTGTGGGGGGGAAATGACATAAAAGACTGAAAACATGAGAAGAGAGCACACAGTGTGAATATTAAATACACACAAGTGACTAATAGATATAAGACCTGCTGGTACAGGCCTGTGCAACTCCTGTTCTTGATTTGTGTGGCATGTTGTACATATTAAAATGTTGACCCTCTGCGAGGTTATATTTTTACTGCTGGAATATTTCACCCCTAAACAAATTTGACAGCATATACATATAGGAATCCTTGTCATTTAAATGTATACACAAACATGCATTAATATTTTGAATGAAAGCCTTTACCTTTTCTTGTCTATCTGTAAGAAAGCTATTTCTCCTAATCTTAACACTGCATATATATATATATATAAATAAAACATACATTCTGGTAAATTATAAGAAATTCACAGTAAAATGATGTTCTCAGCATCACAGGATTGTATTTGATTTATTGATATATATGCAACCCGATTTCCTGATTTCAGACCACTATATTGCATAACTTGCATAAATTCAATACATTTTATTTAGGTCTTCACAGACAATTTTTCACAATAAATTAAATTAATAATGACCGAAAAAATTGTAGGCTGAAGCCTTTGCTTATTCCTACCTTTTATGTATTATGTATTTATCTAATGAGTGACACTTTCCTCACTGGATTTGATTCATGCAAGACAAACAGAAATAATAATATAATAATATGAGTGGTAAAATACAAGATGTGCTTTGGTCTCTCCATAATCTATGGTTAATAAACTAAAGGTAGTGTACAGTGTTACCTTGTAAAAATAAGAAGAAACATTGTTATTTTAATAAAATATAATAAAATGTGAAGCATCACATAACTTCTGGGATCCTCTTTTTACCATTTTTACTGTACAGTTACAATTTTCTTGTTACATTTAATTTAGATTTCCATTAAAAAAAACTATCCTATAAATTCATACTTCCAAACATTTTTACATTATTTTACAGTAAAATAAATACATACATTTTTTACAGTGTATGTACATGAAAATATGTTTGACCCTTAAGCTATATTATACAAAAAGTTTTGGTTTCAGAATTCTTGTTTTTCTCACCATTTATTGAAATATCTTTGATAAGCCAGCAAGCAACAGATCCATTTATAATTCTTGGCAGATGCTTTCTAATCAAAACAACAGATGAAAATCAACAGTAGCCAATTCATATGAGCAAGGCAACAGCATTTGGAATGAGGGAATAAGCAGCTGCAAAGACGAGAACAAAGACGAGCGAGAGAGCGAGAGAGAGAGAGAGAGAGAGAGAGAGTTTTATAGAGTTGTATGGATGTATCTTTAGGTTGGGACTGTTTTTTCAGCTACTTGCCAAGGCAACATTTCTCATTATAATTGAGTTTGACTTGATGTGCTAACTAATATAACTAAAACTGGAATGAAATTAATAAAAACTTGACAGAGTTATGACAATCTAAACAGGTCCTTTTTGTTTGATGGTTTTCTTATCACATGACAACAAAATGGCTTCATGCATGCTGGTTACATGCTTTGATTAGGGTAAACAAGTTTGGCAGATATGAATAATATATTTTTTAAAGTGCTTATTTTACATATATATCATATTATAATATTACTTTTAATATTTTAATTATTATGAACAACATAATAAAAAAAAATTTTTTAATTAAAAACATGTATATTAATTTTTTTTTTACCTTAAGACAGTTACACCACTTTGGCTTTGCACACTTTAAACCCCCAAAAATATAAAAAAATATTTTTTTTTATTCAGAAATTGTAAACATGTTGACCATATTACAGGAATTTTCAAGATTTCTACATGAATTGCACTTTATGATCATGTCTTTGTGTGTTCTACTGATGCATCTGTGCAATATTTGTGTCAGTGATTGCAACATGCAGTGCCAATAAAGCAGAGAGAGAGCGAGAGAGAGAGAGAGAGAAACTCATGCATTTTTTACAGCTGTCTCTATTAGATGCACATGTTTATTAAGCACTGCAGGACATTTATTTCCCTCACCTTCCTCAACAGTTTGAGCACGTCCGTCGCGTCTTCTCTCTTCCTCTCCCGAAGGAGCTTCTGAATCTCTCGGACCCAGGCGACTCGTCTGACATACGGGCTGTGGTTGGCTCTCCTCAGCATCCCCGGCAGCTTATCCGACCTGGGCATCAGGGATGTAAACAAGAAGTCTCCGCTCCGATCGCTTTCTCCCGTACTGTCGAGATGTTTCCGTCGCCTCCTTGAAAAATTCTCGTTGTCGAGACTGTTTTGGCGGCTGAGCCTGGAACCCATGATCTCAATTACGTTGAAATCACAAATGTTACAATAAATACTACCCTTTTACGGCGTAACCATGGCAGCCTGGACGATAACGCCCAGAGGTTTCCACATCGGTCCGAACTTGGGTAGCACGTACTCGCTCTGCTTACAGTCAATGTCCTTTGTGAAATCCACTCGACGACACAAGTAGTAGTTTTAGCTGCAGAAATGTCAGTGTTTTGTTCTTTATCCCAGCTCTCGCACCCTCGTATTTGTGTTTGTTGTCAGTAGGACACGTCTGCCTGATGCTCTAGTTGGTATTCAGTGGATGATGGAGATGTTCTCCACAGCACCACGCGTGGATCATTACTGAGTACTGTCCTGCCATTGGTTTCGTTTATGTGCCCCACATGCCAAGAAAAGAAATGTGGGGTGGTGAAGTCATAACAACATTTGAATCGATTTTTAAGTAAGCTTATTGAACTGATGGACAATTAATTTCATGAATTGATGCTGAGTATGAGGTCTTATATAAAAGAAATCCCTATCCCAATGCTAAACAACAGCAATTGTCAAAAACTGTAAAAATCCAGTCAAATAAAATTTACGGTAAAAAAAACGGCAGCTGTGGTTGCCGGAATTTTACCGTAAAAAATATGGTAGCAACGTTTTAGGTTTTACAGTATTAACTTAAATTTACAGTTAAATCCCGTAATTTCATTAACTGATAAAATGTTATTATATACCAACTTGGGTAGCACGTACTCGCTCTGCTTACAGTCAATGTCCTTTGTGAAATACACTCGACGACACAAGTAGTAGTTTTAGCTGCAGAAATGTCAGTGTTTTGTTCTTTATCCCAGCTCTCGCACCCTCGTATTTGTGTTTGTTGTCAGTAGGACACGTCCGCCTGATGCTCTAGTTGGTATTCAGTGGATGATGGAGATGTTCTCCACAGCACCACGCGTGGATCATTACTGAGTACTGTCCTGCCATTGGTTTCGTTTATGTGCCCCACATGCCAAGAAAAGAAATGTGGGGTGGTGAAGTCATAACAACATTTGAATCGATTTTTAAGTAAGTTTATTGAACTGATGGACAATTAATTTCATGAATTGATGCTGAGTATGAGGTCTTATATAAAAGAAATCCCTATCCCAATGCTAAACAACGGCAATTGTCAAAAACTGTAAAAATCCAGTCAAATAAAATTTACGGTAAAAAAAACGGCAGCTGTGGTTGCCGGAATTTTACCGTAAAAAATATGGTAGCAACGTTTTAGGTTTTACAGGCTTTACTTATAATTTAACAACATTAGGTGTAACACACAACACTAATATACAAAACTGATAAAAAAAACTAAAAAGAAACATAGTTATTTAAACAAAAAAACATCAAATTTGAAATGTAATGCAGGGAATTCTGGGAATGTCAATTTACAGTTATTCACTGTAAATTATCACTTCCAAATACGGTATACTACCGTAAAATTAATGTCCAATACAGTTTTTCACCGTATATAGTAGGGGAATTTACCGTTAACCATTTAACAGGCTTTTACTGTAGCATTTTTACAGTCTTTTACCGTTAAATTCACTGTCATTTTTTACAGTGCAGTAATCTCCTATTTTCAGAAGAGCTCAAATATTTGACCTCAAATATTTTTCATTAAATTCTCCAAAATAAATAAATAAATTGTCGACATCTGTGACCAAAAATGTCAACAATAGTATTTGTTGTTGTTGTTAGAAATCAACTAAATTAGTAGGCTAATTAAGTAGAATACATTTAAAAATCCAAATTGTGCATTTTACCTCCATTCTCTAAGACAATCATATAATTTAATTAATTTAATTTAATTTATTTTAAAACTGTCGGGGTGGATTTTGCAGGATACTGTTTAATTTCGCATGCGCGGTGTGTGTTTACATTCTGTCAGTAAATACAGAAGTATCGGCTACTAGAGCGCATTTATCAGATAAACTTTTTTTTGTTTGTTTTTTAGAAAGTGTAATCTATTAAATGTTATCTTTAAAAAAAACACAAATAACTAGCCTATCACAATTCATTAATTCAATTAATCAAGATCAGTTACAACAAGACAGTTCACGAAATTAACGCTATTTGCGGTGAAACATAAGAATTTTGAAATATTTAGAATCGAAGGTTCGAAATAAATTTATTTATTTTATTTTATTTATTTTAAAACTGTCGGGGTGGATTTTGCAGGATACTGTTTAATTTCGCATGCGCGGTGTGTGTTTACATTCTGTCAGTAAATACAGAAGTATCGGCTACTAGAGCGCATTTATCAGATAAACTTTTTTTTTGTTTGTTTTTTTAGAAAGTGTAATCTATTAAATGTTATCTTTAAAAAAAACACAAATAACTAGCCTATCACAATTCATTAATTCAATTAATCAAGATCAGTTACAACAAGACAGTTCACGAAATTAACGCTATTTGCGGTGAAACATAAGAATTTTGAAATATTTAGAATCGAAGGTTCGAAATAGTTTGACTTAACAAAGCCTTGTTTGCTGCAATCACGTGACCTGGCGAATTTGACACAAGTTCCAAACCTCTTGCTGCATTCTCGTCATGTCGTAATTACTGTAATTTCGAGATGACAACACATGACATTCTACTTGGAGCTGTTCACACTCTTGTAGTTGGAACTATCGCACTATCGATGACTAAGCATAGCGCAGGTAGTTAGGTATAGCGAGGTGGTCAGGTACATTGGTACAAGTTCTCAGAAAAGTCCCAGTTCACAAGTTGTAATTACGAGTTCTACGAAGACGTGAATACTTTTTACAAGTTGGTATCACGGTAAATACGATATGGAGTGAACGCACCTACTGATTAGAAACAAAAGATTTATAAATGATTGGAAGCTTCTTGAAAGAGTGTTTCGAAAGCGCCCATCACTACTAAGATGAACACCTAGCCTAAATCGCAAACCATCAGATTCTTCGCACAAAGGAGCAGAACCAAAGTGTTCCAGGACCGAGTTTGGGCACCCCTGGCCTAAGTGATAGCAATCTGTTCTAAACAAGCTAAGATGTTGTGCTAACTGTTTTCCTGATGTGCTTCCTGAACTAAATTCCACATTTTAACAAGTTTTAAATTAGCATTGATAGTCTAGAAAATCTTCTAGACATACTTTCATATATATGAAGAGTCACAGGTCTTTTTCTGGTATTGAATGGCCATGACATATTTTGTTTCATTGGAGACCTTCTAGCTGATATTGTGGCCTTAAGCCTTTCTTATTCGGCTGCTGTAAATGGCATGACAGATGGAATAGACCTTAGCAACAGACCTTACTGATGTCCCTGTCTGATTCACAGCCTTTTTCAAAATATCTGCTGAAAGTCCATCTGTCTTTTATTTCCAATGTAAAGGCAAAATAGACACAAAAAGAAAGACTTCCTACTGGGGTAGATTTTCAAAAACCTGTCAGTAAGCTTTTGCATATTAAATTATTGGCTGTTGTTGTATGATATTAGCATGAGTGGAATATATCAAATTTACTTGAAAGCCAATTTATACATACTAAAGTTTGTGTAGAATGTAAAAGGTGTTAACCTGCAATTTTTACCTTAAAAGCTATTTCTACCTGGTTTAACGCATAAAAATTTGTTTTGTTGGTTAAACAATATTTGTGACTTTTTATAATATTTTTATGTCACAATCTTTTGGTTACTACTTTTTGGTTACCATGTTTTTTCATTGCTTTACACGCTTAAAAATAAATATTCAAAAAGATGTTTTGATGTCACAGAAGAACCACAGGGTTCCCCAAAGAACCTTTCTGTGAACAGTTCTTAAAATAACTCAAATAAATTAGTTTTTCTTAGTGTAGAGAATGTTTTAATAATCTAAATATATATATTTTTTAATATAAATAATCTCTTGTGGTATGGACAGGTTCCATGAATTTGAAATGATCTTCTTGGAACCATAGATGCCAAAATAACCTTTATTTTTTTATTTTACATTTTAAATGTTTTTTCATGTGCTGTTTTCTCAGTGTAAATAAATTAAATTAAATTAATATATATTGATATATGAATAATTTCATATATGACCATAGCTTTGATATCCTGTAATTTTAGTAAAATTCATTGTTGTAAAATTATTTCAGATGAAGTGCTGATCTCAGCTGGCTCAGTGATTGTTCATTTCCAAAAAATCTGGCTGTCCACATCACCACTCCCCTTAAATAACCAAACAAGACTGTACATATATCAAAATGAAAGCTAGATTGTATGCTTTTAAATGGGCGTTAAGAGCAGGTATAATTTGTAAGTGTAATTCATATAATACCAAGATAAAGGGGCAGAAATGTATTTATTAGCAGTTGTTTAAATAGTTTCAAGCTGAATGATTGTGAGACATCAGCATGGGATTAATTAATCAAATAATGTGTCATGATCTGTTTGGCAAACTTAATTCCAGATCAATTCTGTGAATTCCTAGTAGGTGAGTAGCTAAAATTCTCTCTCCCTAAAAACTACTGACACGTAAATACTCGTACATGCTCTTTATCCATTTACTCAACAATAATTGAAGTTTTATGGCTGAGTGACACCATATTAATAAATCCTGGACAGTGTGCTACACATAATGGGAGGAGCTGAAGACAAATGCTGACAAATTACAGTTCACTTAGTGAATTGAGGACGGTGGGACAAAAGGTCTCTTGAACAGGTCTAATAATGCTTCAAGTGCCTTGTCCCATGCTGAAAAGTGCTGACCGACTGTTTTTATGGTGGTATTATTACATAACTCTTTGACGCCAGTTTCAAGAATTGTGACTGTAAGAAAGTTCTAGAATTTTCTGTCATTGGTATTAAATGCCGAGAGCCTGAAAAATGGCTTTAGCATTCCTCGCTCTTGAATAAAGTCCCTGGAGGTTTTACAAACATAAAAATGACATTTTCAAAGTCAAGAATCTTTCCTCTGAAGTTTTGTCACTCATTCAGCTGTGAGTCAACACCAACATGCTGCATCAGAGATATTTCTTAGAAGTCTTACGTAACATGCAGTGCTGACTCGCTTAACTAAACTTTAATAATAACGTCCAAAAGTCTGAGACCACCAGAGAAGATGCTCATATGCATTTCTTTCTATTTTCTTTTTTGAAAATTCTTGAGTGAAAATCCATGTAACTTGGATAATATTACATGAATGACTTCATTAACATACATTTCACAATTTCTAAGTATGTGTATGGGAAATTTTGCTGTAACTCAAGCTGATATTGACAGTTTGTTCAAAACCTGATGATCCAT